CTCACATCCCAGCTTTGCTCGAGGTTTCCAATGTGGCCACAGGGAATTCACTCAACTACACTTGGTTCCCACTGCTATAAAGCAGTTTTCTCACAGAATCACAGAGGGGATTGCGTGAACATAAAGAAAGGCGCCTCGAAAATGTGGCTGTGTAAAATTTTATGCTACGCACTTACTTTGTCAAATAAATGCAGCTTTCCAACAAGGCACAGCGAGCTCTGCTTCCCATTAGCACTTAATGGAGAAATCACTTTGTGAGGCTGTGATGTGCTCATGGGGTGCATTTTTGTGGTTAACGGAATGGTTTTGTGCCTGTTCTTAGACAACAGGTTCCCATCCACTAAGGACACGTTTGGGTTTTTTAATTTCTGATGTGAGGACATGCAGGGGAATGCTGGCCAGGACTGAACCCCCTGCAGAGGCTGGAGGAGTTGGATGAGTGCAGGCATTTGGGAGCACTGGGCCAGAAGCGCCAGGGCAGGAATACAAGTGATTTGCTCGTGATCACACAAAAGGGACATTTCTGTACGTGCTGAGGACTCTGCAGGTTACCCAGACATCTGAAATTTCCAAAGGTCACAGCTAAGCCGTGCTCACCTTAATGGTGTTCACAGGAGGGGTGGATTTGGCAGCTTAGGTTTATCCCGGTGCGCTGGGTGCAGGGGAGCTGGTCAAGAGACACAGCTTGAAAAGCAGATGGATCCTGCTGGAAATGGTGGTGTGCATTTGCTGCTTTTAAGTTCATCAGGAGAGAAACATCTTTGCAGCAATAATCCTCCAAACCATGGTGAAGAACAGAGTCCTGAAGGGACCCGTATCCTGAACTGTGGGATGATGTCCTGCCAGGGGGTACATCCTCATAAATGAGTATTATCCCTCCTGCTCTTCCAACCCTGTGCAGCTTGCCAGAGGGGGCACTTTTTAATGGACTAGGAGAAGTTAAAGGAGAATCCAGAAGGATAAGGCTAAAAGCGAATTCTTTGGTTTATACCATTTATAGTCCCATTAAATTCAGTACATTTCTCAGACATTTGGGGGGCAAGGAAGTTCAGTGTGTTCGTACATCTTTCAAGATCCTCACTTGATCATTTGACTCTGTCCAGCCAGCTTAACAAGCTAAATAATAAAAGAGAACAATGCAAAACCTGTTGAATTTTTTTTCACCCTGGGTCTTTTTTGAAGAAAAATAAGATTTTTTTTTTTGTCTCAGATGCCCAGCAGTTTGCTGCAGACTCCTGCAGCTTTCCTGCCCATCACTCAGTACCTGTTTAAACGTATCAAATTGTTGTACTTCCTCCTTTCATAGAGAAGCAATTAAAAATGATGAGGGTAAAGGGTTAAACCTAAAAGCCTGCTAACGAGGGTGCCTTCTTGGTTTTTCTTTCATCAGGCGTTAGATGCTGCTTTCAGCATAAGCTTTCGATAAGCATCACTGAACATTTTATCCAGCGTGTTTTAAAAAAGTTGGGGTTTTTTACCATCCTGTAAAAATGATAGATGTGTGACTCTGCTGTTTATCCGAAATCCTAATTACTGATGCTGCAGCTTTTAAATGTTAAATTCATGCAGTGTTCTTTAGGCTTCAAACTGGTCAAAGAGAGATTGATTTGTGTCCACAGAGAGTTCCAAGTCTGGTAAACACAGCCAATGTTTGTTTGTTTATTTATTACATTATTTGAAAGTCAAGAGTTGAATCAACTGCAAATTACGTAGACTTGGAGATTTCTAAAGGAGAAAAGGAAAAAAAAGAAAAGCAAAAGTTGTCTGCTGGTGAATGAAACTTTAATTTCAGTCTCCATGAGAACAAAGAGTAGAGATAAGAGGTGGAACTGGAAAATAGGGATGAAGTCTCCTTTCCTTAAACTATGTTATTTATTACAGAACAATAGGTTGATTTCCCCCCCACTATACACATATATCCGGGAAAATTATTTCATATATAAATTTGTATAGATAAGGAATTTATTTATAAGATATTTATAGTGTATTATGTGGATCTGTGTGCATTCATATATATATATGTGTGTGTGTATCAAACAGTGCATCTCACTAGTCATGTAAAATCCCAAGGAATAGTTTTCACAGAGCAGCAAGGAGAATGGTTTAGGATTTCTAATCACAGAACCATTTAGGTTATAAAAGATCTCCAAGATTGTTGAGTCCAACTTTAACCCAGCACTGCCAACCCAGCACTAAGGCACGTCCTTGCAGCCCTGAGATGGAAGTGTGAGCAGCTCAGCTATCCTGTGCTTTCTCTGCTGTGTATAAACAATAACCGGAGCAGTAGCAGCAGCTCTGCCTGACAGCAGCTGAGCACGGTCATCCCTGTGTGTTTGGAATCCCCTGCAGAGCTGCCCAGGTGAGCCAAGGCCCCGTTGCTGCCATGCAGAGTGACTCAACACTGTGAAATCCTCATGTCCTTGAAGCCTTTCTGTGCTTGCAGTTCCTAAAGGCTCTTAGGAGAGGAGCTGGCTGTGCTAATTCATTGCTGAGTATTCACCCACCTGTGCTACCTGAGAGGAGCAATGTGGAGCAGAGACGGTGCATGTCTGAAAACAAAACAAAACAAAAAAAAGATTAGACAATTTCTCCCAGGATTTTCCCCGTCTCTAGTCAAGTTTGTTTTAAACTAATGGAAGTAATTAGCAAGTCACAGAGGGACTTTGTCTACGAGGTAGCCATTTTTAGATAATGGAGCATAAAAGTCGGCACAGTGACATATGACACCAGAGCAGCATATTGGAGCCACGCGCTGTGTCTTAAGCAGATGTTTAAGTACTTTGAATACTGAACTCACCACGTACACATATAGGAAGGTTGTTGGGGTTTTTTTCTCTCAGACTACTAGTACACTGTTAGGACTTTCTTTCAATCTCAATAAAATCAAAGTAAGCTCCGAGATGTTTTTAATGTGCAGTCTTTATCACTCCTTTCTCTCTTCTTCACATGTCTTCCCGTGTATGGTACGTGGGTACTTCGGGAGGTAGAGGTGGAACTTGTGTTGCTCGTGGCCATTGCATAGGGGTGCTGCAGTGCACCAGCTCTCGTGCCAGGTTTCCGACAGTTTTGATGGCATCGAGATGAAAATAAGTAACATTTTAGAAGTGAAGCACTTGATGTGTTCGCACATATTTATTGCAGCTATGAATGCAGGGGAGATTTGCAGAAATTCCTGCGAGATGAAGGCAGTCTCCCAGCAGGGCGGTCCCACGGGCAAGGGGGATCTCCCCTCACAGGTCTCCGAGGCCATCCCAATTCTTGTAGGTGCCACCAAATCGTGTGTGTTTAACCTCATCCAGTGCCTTCAGGCTTTTTATATGCTCGATAACTTCATCCACCTTATTTTTTACAAATCAATGTGTGGCATTTGCAGTTTGTGACCAGCAGTTGCTGCAGCATTAGGTAATAACACTTCCCACCACACACATAAAAATGTACAAATGGGATCTAAATAAACACACAGCATAGAAAGCCTTTGTAAGATGTACAGTCATGACATGATCACACCCTGGTTAGTGAGGGGTACAGTTTGGTGAAGGAGAAGAAAGGATTTTCTGTTCTTCCACTACAATTTGCTCCTCGTTTCTTTCTACTTGATGGTGCTGGGGAGAGCTTTGGCAGCAGGGTGGGTTGAGCTATTTCCTGGCCGCTTTTTTCTTTAGACTATGGCATCCCTTGGATTTTTATTTAAATACAGATTAGTCCTTGGTTCAGCTCAAAGCAGCACTGCAAAGGAGCCAGTTGTGGTGTAGGGGGAAAGGGATGGTTGGGGTACAACTGTCCAGGAGCTCTTCTCACCTGGACTCCTGGGAGAGTTGTACCTCAACCACCACTGAATCCCTTCTCCCACCACAGCCAGCCTAGGTAAGATCCGTCCAGCCCAGCTCTTCTTCTGCAGGAATTAAGTGCCTGCTGAAGCCTCACCAGACCTGGCCCAGCAGGTTTTTCCTTGTCTCGGGGCAGGCTGGAGCGTCTCTGCTGAGCACTCAGCAGCCGCAGCGTGAGAACCATCTAACGCTCCGAGCTGGAACGCTGTACATCCATTCTCACTCACTTGAGATGTTTTTACGGGTACAATATGTTTTCCTTCACCACATGTGTGTTCCGCCCTGTGGATTACTCGAATGGCAGAAAGTGTTTTGTTTCCTGTATTATTAGCTGCAGGTTCAATTTCGATCAGATTTGTCAATTTTGTCATATAATAGAGTTTTTGTTTTCTGTCCTAATGTATGTGACATGTTTCATAATGCCAATAAAAATAGTTTTCAAACTAGTCTGTGAATGACTTTGACCAAAAAAAAAGAGGAAAATAAAAATATCAGCGACTGGGGAGCTTTGATCTGACAGAGCAGGCTTTTAAATGACACATTATGGTTTGTGAAGCACAGTTTTACAGTTCCTCTTCACAGTAGCTGTAACATGTGAGGGGTCAGCCAGGGTGGGAATGTAGCTCAAGGTGGGGGTCCAGTTCCAGCAACAGATGGGTGCTCCAAAATGGTTTAAATATTTTTTTTCCATGTTTAATTTTTTGTTGTTGTTGTTTTTACATTTCTGATAATGGAATTGTTATGGGCTTTTGAATTTCAGTTAAGAATGTGCAAATAGGCTATATGGTAAGTAGGTTATTGAAGGGTTAGGAAAATGGAGAACATTTCCTGCAAAAAAGTACCCACAGTGTGGGTAATAGACTCCAGTTGAATTTAAAAGATAATGGCGACAAGGGAGAAATCCACTTGTGGAAATGGGGAACAGCTGTGTTTGAGATCTAATGAAACTGTATCAAATACTTTAAAAATGGCTTACAGCTCCTTCCCTGGGGAACAGAGATAAAGCACAAGAGCACTCCTGAAAGGTCGAAGAAACAGTTAAATCATTTCCTTGATGGTTATTAGAGATATAGAAGACATCAGTGAAAATTAAATGTCTGAAACTTGTATTTGATTGCTTTCCTTATCACGCCAATCTCACACATTTCTTCCATCTCTTACTCTCTGTTCTAGTAAAATTTAATAACTGTGCTGGTAACAAGGGAGTTCGGTATGAAACCAACAGCCTGGACTTCAAGGTGAGGGCGGACGGGACCCTGTTTGCCGCCCACCACGTGCAAATGCCCTCGAAGCAGCTGATCCTGGTGGTGACGGCGTGGGATCCCCAGACCCTGGGCAGGTGGGAGGCCATGGTCCGGTTTCTGGTGGCAGAGAAGTCCCAGCACAGCGGACACAAGGTAAGAGTTTTTTCAAAGCTCTTGTTCTTATTTCGCTCTTCCTTTGCCCCAAAGTTGCATGTGGCGTCGGGGTGTTTGTGTTGCCTGGTCTCTGCTTCATAAGGAAGTGTCCAGGTAAGAGATACCACAAGCAGCGTCAAATTTCTTGCAAATGATCCTTGAACCTCTCTGACAGAAACGATTTAAGGTCACCAGTGAGGGAAGTGTTTAAGTTCATAGTTTTGTGTTTTTAAGTGACTGCTTGGCTCTGTTGTACACTGCAGGTTGTGTACATCATGTTTGCATCTCACTGCTAACAATCTCTCTTGACTTCAAGCATAACCTGCCAGTGAAGAGTGCAGAGTCAAAGTCAACCATCTTCTTCGTGGTTGTAAGCTCAGATTTCTTTTGTGACAGCACAGACCTGGAGTCACGCGCTGGCTGCTCTGCCATGCTGCTGAGACGTCTCCCTGGTTTTCACAGTTATTCCTTTCTCTTGTGAGCCATCTGCATAGCCCTGCAGCTTCCAAAGGGGAGATTTGGGCTTGTTCCTTCCAATGCAAGGACAGGGAGCATTGCTGCTGCCTGATAAGGAACACATGCTCACACGTGGTGCAGGCAGCGAAGCACAACGTGGCACCGCAGTGCCAAATGTCCCCTCTGCTCAGTGCCAGCACCTTCCCTTCCCCAGCCCTGACAGTGAAAAGCCAGTGCCATTCAGTATGTCAGACAGAAGGTTACAGATGGTTTCTTTCTGCTTTAGTTCCATACACGCAGCTGAAAAGCAGGAGGGGTCTATCCCTGCCCAGCAGTCTGAGAGCAGCGTTCCCACAGATAAATGCAGTGGTGGGCTGCACAGAACCATTGGAATTGGGGGGGCTGCTCCATGAAAATGCATTTCTTCTGATCTGCCCCTTGAGTAGCTGTCTTTTTCCTACCTCTTCCCTCTCATTTTTGGCAGCAGCAGTTCACCTTTTGCTTTTCAGTGTTAGTCTGGGCCGAAGATCCTCTACTACCCTGAGTAAACGCAGTTATCTTGTCTGGTGCCAACTCCAGCGATGCACTGCTGGGCTGGTTGGGTGCTTACATTTAGGCAGGATTTGGCAGGGAATTGTTTAAAGAGACTGATTTAATGCTGAACCTTGAAGACTTGTGGAGCAAGGATGAAGGTGTGTGCCCTGGGAGCAGTCGTGTCTCCTTCAGGGACAGGGGATGTCTCTTGGCCGTGGCTGTAGTTGGGATTAAAGCACCACAACAGTGGTCAAAATAGCAAGACTGGCCAATCTCTCCTTTCCTCCTTTTTGCAGTGCTTGGACAGAGAGGGCAGGGCAGGATGGGGGAAGAGGGAAAGACTTTCCATGTCATACTGTTAGAACTTCACCTTGTGAGTCTGTGCCATTTGGGAGAATTTTTGCCCCGTGTGAAACAAAAAGGAAAAGACTTGGACAGACTCAAATCTTGCAGCTGCCCAGTGGGCTGACCCCTGAGTTTTTGCATGGCTTAGAGTCACATAAATACACTTCTGCTGCTCTTCAGTAAGGCTTGGGCTTCTGCAAGATGTAATTAAGTCCTGTATGTTATGTCAACTCTATTTGCCATTTTCTAACCAAAGAAATACTGCTTCCTTCTAAAAGTAATTAAATATTGAAGGAACAAAGTAAGATGTCTTATATACTGCTTTAAATTTCTTCTCAGTGTAGCAGAAAGAAAACTAAATAAGCACACATTTCTGTTTTAGCAGAATATTTGCTTGGAAATTCATCTAATGTTAATGTAAGCTGAACTCTGGTTGAAAAGAGAGAGAGCTAAGCTTCTTAAAATTCATATCCCTGCTTTCTAAAAGCCTTATTAGTGTGTAGTTTGAGGCCAAAAAAATACGGAAACAAGACTAATGACAAGGTCATAAGCAGTTTCATGGTGGGTTGCTATAGCAGGCATCAGACTTGTGTTTTATTTAAATACTAGTGGTTTTTGGAAGCCAAGTAATCCTTTGTTTGGTAAAGAAATAAATATGATTATGCGATTATTTTAAAAAATAATAGTCTTTATGATGAAACCCCCAAACCTAACAATATCCAGTTCAATATGTTTCAGGCCATGACCCTGATATGCTTTGTGCCTTTTACTAGAAGCAGATTTCACATTTGGGTTTGTATATATAGTATAATATGTCTCAAGCAGTGCTACATAGTTTTTTTTTTTAAGACATTTCAGACTGTTGTGTTATATTCAGGATATGGAGATGGCAAATATGGGAGAGAAAGGAGGAGGTGACCTGAGAGAGGGGGAGAGATCTCTGTTGAGGCGCATCCCTCCATTTCCCTTTCACTTTGTAAATTTGTGACTGATTTCGTGAAAAACGCTGAACAGTTCCCAGACATTAGAAATAAATGGCATAAAGTTTGCTCACCACACCTGCTGGTGGCTGTTTGTTGGCACCTGCAGCACAAACAGGTCCCTGTGCCTTGCTCACCCATCCTCTGTGTTCCTGTGGGCATTTCCACGAGCGATGGCCCCCAGCAAAGGCAGCACTACTGTCCCTCTGAGCCACCTCTGAAAGGATAAATCAGAATTTAGTTCACAATTATCCATGGATTAAAGCTTCCTGAAAACCAGCCTTCCTGGAATGGCCATTATTAGACATTTGGGTTATTGTGGAGGTTATAATGCCAAATAAATGTTGGAGGAGGAGTCGGCGTTTTTGGGATACTGGCTGAGATTTTGGGAGACCAGGAGTGAGCCTGCCTGCACAGTGGAGGCAGTAAGCTACTTTCCAGGAGACCATGGAGGATTAAACCCTCAATAAATGATCCTTTGGATTTGTGATCCTTTCTTGTCACAATATGTAAGACTGGAAATCTGCTTAATGGGCTTGGGAGAGCTTTGGTGGTTGCCAGCATGGTTCCAGGGTGGGAGATCAGTTCAGGATGGCTTTTGTCAGGACAGTCCTCCCCTTGTGTTCTTTCTTTGCAAAATCAGAGGGTTTGGTGGCTGTGCCTGCACCTCAGATCCCTCAGCTGTGTGTTGCTCTTGGTGCAAGCTGACATTTTAATGTTGAGTGAACCAATACAGTGACAGTTTCTCCTCCTTCGTAGGGTTGGCCTTATAAATGTGCTAATTGCTTTAGAATAACCTGGGAAAACCTGCCAATTTCAGTGGTAACCACTGTAATGAAAAAATTCCAACTACTACAGCAAAGTGTCATGCTAGTAGGAAAAAATGATAGCAAAGAAGGCAAATACTTCAAAAATGTATTTTTTGAGACATGAAGCATCCATTTCTCCTCCTCCTCAGCAAACACTTGGATGTAAACTTTTTTTTCTGGTTAATACAAGTGATGTTAGTAACTCCAGAAACTTTTTTGTTCAGTCTTGCAGGAAACCTGATAGCAATTCAATTAGAAAATGCAAATGAGGTCACATATTTCCCACAGGAGTGCTGAATTACCCCAGAGGAAACTGAGTGATATTCTGGCATAACAATAAATACTTAAGATAAAGTTTCTTCTGCTGTTCTTGTCTGGCTGCCTGTTCTTGCAATTGAAAGTATGAGTTGAAGCTGTGGGTATAATTTGGAAAGAAGAAAAGAAAAAAGAGAAGAGAAAGGAAAAGAAAAACGAAAATAAAAAAGAAAAATTAAAAAGAAAAGAGAAAGAAAAGAAAAGAAAAAAGAGAAAAAAGATAAAATTAAAAAAGCTATTTTATGAAATAATATAACGTCTTTGTGGCTTGTGTCAGCATTTATGAAAGATGAATTTGAGTGGGATAATGCTCCAGAAGAAAACAACATAAAACCAAGCTTTACTTATCTGGAATTAGCAGTCTTCTTTTCTAAGAGTGCATGCTATTATTTTGAGAAGTTTTATATTGATTCAGCCAAAAGTGAAAGATCGTATTTGTGAACAGTGGCATTGCTGAGGACTTCAGTTTTCAGAGTGTCCTCTTTTTTAGCTGCAGAAACTCAAGTCTTCCCAAGTACATGAGTAGTTAAATTGTGCCATTTGGGCTTCACTCCCCCCCCCCCCCCCGTGTCCATCAGTCCCCACTCTTCCTCATCATTCCTTGCTAATCAACTTCCTCTGCTCCCTGGGTTGGCTTCTCCCATCTGAAGTTTTGGTCCTCTCACTCATACTGATTTTTATCTTTATTTTTCAGTCCCTTCATGTGTCTAAGCATGTTAAGGCATATCTAGCAAATTTTCTTCTGTATTTATGTATGTATCTATTTTTCTGTACTTCTCAGCTCATAAGTTAGGATCAGGATCATAGAAATACAGCTCAGAAAGGAATTCACAGCACTAGAGCTTGGAGGTAGAGGATATATTCAGCACATGTAGGATGTCAGTCATCTGCTGCCATTGGCTTATTTTTGAAAAAAAAAAACATACTGTTTTCCTTGAATCATTTATATGTCAACCAAAGTTTCTCACTGTTTGAGATTCTCAAATTCTGAGCATGGAAATATGGAAATTTTTGTAATGTTAAGTCACTGGGAATTGTGCAATTAAACTTGGAAATATATGAGAATGCAGCTAGTATTTAAAACATCAAGAATTGCTGTCAGAAATCCATCCTTGCTTAAGCCCAACTTGTGTTTTATCACATCTCATCTTATTTTGGGCTTCATTTATAACCCAGGTATGAGTCCACAGCTATACAATGTGAATATGAAAAGCTGATTCTTACAGCCAGAGGGTTTGTATTTTTTTTTTTTTTAATTTAAAGCCTTTAAATAATCATCTGTGCTATTTTACCTGGCTAAGGTTTTAAATTTCAGTGCAGCCTTTTATTGCTGATCACAAGCACAAAGGTCTCCGGGCAAGGAAAGGCTTATTCAGCACTGCTCCTGTTCATGACCTGGGTTATTGTGCAGCCAGGATGCTCTGCACGAGGCTGAGGAGACAGGAAGATGTAGCTTTCCCTTGAGGGAAGAAAATGAGAGCTTAAGTAGGAGCTGTGCTTCCAGTGACTCCAATATCTCTGATGCTCTCGAGTGGATGGACCTGGAAGAAATGGGGGAAAA